AATCTTGAAACTTGGATTTGGAATCATAGTGGGGGTATACTTATGAAATAGTGTGTGCTAAATGGAACTAAATTTGGTAAAATTTGCATTTGAGTGAATCTTTAGAGCTCGAATCCTAAAATTTGTTGTGGATTGCATAGTATTTCTCAAATATGCAATTTTCGATTAAATTAAAAATTATGTTAATACATGTTTAAATATTTCCCACATTCGCTATATATATATATATATATATATATATATATATTTGAGTTCATGTTTCGGAATAACCGGTATCCCCGATAATTTGATATTTCTGGGCGTTTGGCAAAGTTTTTCAAGCGAATTCAATGTAATTTTAAATTGGGATGTTAATTCCTAATACCGGTCCACATTATGGCATAGCTCCTACATAACGGAATCAAAGCATTTTCATTATTTTTAAGGTATAACCACATTTTACCACCACAGTAACTGCAGTTTGGCATTGTGGTTTTTGGAAGTTGGTCTACATTTATCCAGAATATTATCAATTTAGGTCAACTTTTTAGTAACCTGAAGGGAAATCAATTTTGTTTCGTTTCTTTTTCATAGTAAATGGGGGGTTTCCGAGTTTGTGCAACTAACAAAACGCCTCAACCCACTTTTTACACACTCCACCATTATAGCCCGATATAACTGTAGCGCCATTATTAGATATTTTGAAAATTTCAATAATATGTGTCCCATGTATGGTCGATCTTTTCTAATTTCGGCTTATGGAACAAATGTTCTGTTCCATGTCAGCTATGCATGTAAGTAGAAGTGGTGGTTATTACACTAGTCTGATTTCTTGGTGAAAAACTTCCCATACGAATTCCCTTTTCTATACTTTGATGTTCCTAGCCCAGTTTTCCGACATGTGTGTCTGTACAGCACCTAGTAGAGAATATAAAAAGTTCGATAGTTTCAGAAACTTTTTAGTACTGGTTCATGTTTTGACCTAGCCACCATATTTATGTATTACTGTCCGAGCCGCATTTTGCAAACGAAGTGGCTGTACCATAGCATATTGTAATCTAGGTACCTGACAATGTTTATTTGGAATGGACCTGACCGTACTTAATACCATTTTTACTCCTTTACCCTATTTATATACATATTTACAGCTGAATGGCCGACAGTTCAGATTGTATCTTTAATGAGGCCAAACAACAATTTACGTTCGAAAAAATGCAATTGAATACTTTCCCATTTTGGGTAAGATATTATCTGCAATTGCTCAAAAAGTACCACCAGTTGAATGGTCACCGTGTGTGCTCCCTATTAACAATATAATCTGTTTGTATGTATGTCCCTAAATCTGTCTTTCCCTCTTAACATTTAAGATGCCATCAAATTCAATTTTAATAGCCTCTTTTAATAGATTTCAAGCCATTTAGTCGTTGTTACCATTTTTGTAGTGTGCCTTTATGGCAAACTGAAAATCCATTTACGAAAAGAATAGAACGAATGTAAATTTCTTGCATATTCGACACATTGTTGTGAACCTTAACCCAGGCAATGTCGAAAGCAAACAACAGTCAAACCAAAATCACCCGGTTAGGAAGATGAAACCTAATTGCCAGTATCACTAAACGCTAACAACAAACAACCCTGAAAAAACGCATAGTTATCTTGATGAAAAGATTAAGGACGGCACGGTTCACGGTATTGTGCATGGATGAGGACTAATCTGCCAGGCAGCAGACAAGAAAACTCCAAAAAAAAAAAAAAAAAAAAAAAAAAAAAAGTTTCACATTTAATACATACTTGTTTTGGATAAATGATAAGGGGAATCGAAACAATACTGTTATTAAGGTATAATTCCGTCAATTCCACTTTTTTTCTGTAGTTCGTATGGGTGAAATTGCAATCACATATCAGCATTATATTTCAACGGTTGTTTGAAAGTAGCTGGCCCAAAAGACTGTGAGGTCAGTGGCACAATTGAGATGAACAATTGTACCGTTATAAATAAAACTAATGATATCAGTTTTAAGATTCGGAGAAGGATTCAACACTATCTCATAGATGCTACCATGGTCTAGGTAAGCAATTTAGAAACAAGGCCACCTCTTGCCTGATCAAACTCACACTCTAAAAGTCGATTTATGCATGTCCGTCCGTCCGTCCGTCTGTCTGTCCATGTTAAATTGTAAACAAAGTACAGGTCGCATTTATGATCCGAATTGGATGAAATTTGGCATAGGTCACTTATTCGGCCAAAGGACGAACCCTATTGAAATTGGGAAAAATCGGTTCAGATTTAGATATAGCTCCCATATATATATTTAACCGATTTAATATAAACGGCCCCTATATATCTTCCGACTTGCATGAAATTTGGTACAGCCTAATCATTTAGGTCTACAATGATGTCTGCGTGAAAATCGGTCCAGATTTACATATAGCTTCCATATATAATTTCATCCGATTTCATGTAAATGGTGCACCAAAATCCCTATATATCTTTCGATTTGCACGAAATTTGGCATAACGTACTGAATTGAGCCTAGAGTGATGTCTGCAAAGTTTCGAGAAAATCGGTCCTTATTTAGATATAGCTCCCATATATAGTTTCGTCCGATTTTATGTAAATGCTGCAACAAAGTCCCTATATATCATTCGATTTGCACGAAATTTGGCATAACGTACTGAATGGAGCCTAGAATGATGTCTGCCAATTTTCGAGAAAATCGTTCCAGATTTAGATATAGCTCCCTTTTATTATAGATTGATTTTAAGTAATTGACGCGCCAGGGAACCAATAGGCTGATAGAAACAAAACGTTCTGAAATTAGTATAACCTAACCTGTGACACGTTTCGCTTAATATTTGGATAGAGCTTCCATATATATTTTCGCCAGATTTCAAGTAAATTGGGCATCAAACTCCTCATGTTAGTCAGATTGACATCAAATTTTGCACAACGTACCTTAATTTTGTACGTTGTGCAAAATAGGTTGTGTAACATGAGGAGTTTGATGCCAATAGAATTACGTAGTTGCGTTTTCTAGAAATACAGACATAGCCCAACGGATGACCTATTTATATTTGTTTGAAGTCGATTTACATACTTTTGTCCCATTGTAACAAACGAATGTTTATGGATAGATCTAGGTAGTCTCACATTTAGATAAATATCACATGTTTTATTTCATCCAATTTCATGTTAATAGTCCTGCTTAATATACCCATAGTGGTGAAGGGTATCATATAGTCGGCCCGTCCGACTTTACTACTTTCCTTACTGGTTTCTATTAGACCTTCAGGATAGAACCAATAAAACTTGAATGATGTAGCATTCACGTCATTTTGCATTAGTATGACAATATTTGCTAATTGGCAATCTGCCAAGAAGTTTAAATATGGATATTGTCAGCATTGGAATGTAACTAATCCCATTGTTTCGAATTATTGTGTAGGTATACTTTTATTGACAACATTTTACAAATAAATTGAGAAACAGAAACAATTGCAGACTCATGTATCTCATATTAGCTATGTAATTCATGTTTGCGTTATTTTTATAAACAACAGAAAACAAATACTACATACAAAAAAGGTTGGTTTGTGCTTTATTTTGTGTTTTATCCATTAATCCGAAGAGTTTTTATTATCGCAGCTGAAGCTCATGCATTAAATTGTTACGACATAACAGAATTCGTACCGCCCATTCCATGAGGAATGGCGAAATATCAGCTTAACTCAAGATTTCCCCAACATCCATAGCAAGAGCTAAAAATCGGACTGTCACAATGAGTAAATACATATTTACTTGTGGTTCTCCTTTTTAATTTGTAAAATGCTTACCAAAACAAAAGAACAAAGATGAAGCATAACATTGTGTATCTATATTTATTTGGTAAACAGAATGGACATATCTGTCCATCATTGTTTCCTTGAAGTTGAACGGATGGTTGACCATGATGGCATTGTTTAAAAAAGAACAAAATATTCATTTTGTATCCAAAGATCTTTTGGGGATTTGTCTTATAAAATTGGATTTTTCCTTCATGGTATGTGGAAGGGAATAACAAATGTAGCAATACAGGTTTATTTCAAGCAAATATTCGTTTTAGATAGTGTGTATATACTTTTTATTGTTTCATTCTAAGGCGATGTTTCATTCCTAAGGAAACATCTCCGCCAAAAACTGCCATTAATAAAACATTACTATACAGTACAACAGTTTCACCAACAAATAAAATTGCCGTCTTGAAGTACACATCCATAAGGTTCTCAACGGCAATGAAATTCTAATCAGAAAAATAAAACAATTTAAAATATTTTGTGTTTGCAAAATAGTCAGGCTTAATGCCAGTTTGTTGTTTTTATAAAAAACAACTATTTATTAGTGGGGAATGTATGGCTCCGCCGAGGGGTAAGGCAGGGAAGACTATAGTTTCGGATCTCGCCACTGATCCTCATCAGTTCCCTTAGTTTTTTGTTGGGATATTCTCCCCAGAAGCTATTAATAGCTTCTTTACAAAAAACCTTTCAAACCCAAATGTCTCTTGTGACAATTCGAAGTTCTTACGTTACCAGCGATACGACCCCAATGAGAAGTTCGTTTCGTTGGCGCCTGACTTCGTGGTCAACAAGGCATTTACAGACAACTACAATACATTTCCCACTGCTATGTGTCGTCACTTTGTGAGAATATCCCAACAAAAAACTAAGGGGAGTGATGAGGATCAGTGGCGAGATCCGAAACTATAGTCTTCCCTGCCATACCCTCGGCGGACAATGCCATACATTCCCCACTAATAAATAGTTGTTTTTTATAAAAACAACAAACTGGGATTAAGCCTGACTATTTTGCAAAAACAAAATACAAATGGTATCCCAAATAACCCGCCAAACACTACAATTTAAAATATTTTGGAGACATTAAAATCAACACTGACTTTATTCAATAACAAGCGGTTCAACACGATCAAATATATGTAAATAACAATAAAATTGACAAAAAATTAATTCTTGAAGTGGGCACTTAATTACTGGCGGAACTTCAAACGACGAACAGTTTTGTATTCATAACCATCAGCACCTAAAACAGCGGAATCTTGGGGTCCTTCAACAGCTTCGGTAACATCCTCCTCACTGGGTGGTAAGTATTCCTTGGCAATTTCGGAGACATCGCGACGTTGACGGAATTTCAAACGACGAACAGTTTTGTATTCATAACCATCAGCACCCAAAACAGCGGAATCTTGGGGTTCTTCTTCGGATTTTACTTCAGCAACAGCTTCGGTAACTGCCTCTTCACTAGGGGGCAAGTATTCGTTGGCAATTTCCGACACATCACGACGTTGACGGTATTTCAAACGACGAATTGTTTTGTATTCATAACCATCAGCACCCAAAACAGCGGAATCTTGGGGTTCTTCTTCGGATTTTACTTCAGCAACAGCTTCGGTAACCGCCTCTTCACTAGGAGGCAAGTATTCGTTGGCGATTTCAGAGACGTCACGACGATGACGGTATTTCAAACGACGAACAGTTTTGTATTCATAACCATCAGCACCCAAAACAGCAGAATCTTGGGGTTCTTCTTCGGATTTTACTTCAGCAACAGCTTCGGTAACCGCCTCTTCACTAGGAGGCAAGTATTCATTGGCGATTTCAGATACATCACGACGTTGACGGTATTTCAAACGACGAACAGTTTTGTATTCATAACCATCAGCACCCAAAACAGCGGAATCTTGGGGTTCTTCTTCGGATTTTACTTCAGTAACAGCTTCGGTAACTGCCTCTTCACTAGGGGGCAAGTATTCGTTGGCGATTTCAGACACATCACGACGATGACGGTATTTTAAACGGCGAACTGTTTTGTATTCATAACCATCAGCACCCAAAACAGCGGAATCTTGGGGTTCTTCTTCGGATTTTACTTCAACAACAGCTTCGGTAGTAGTTTCCTCACTGGGTGGTAAGTATTCGTTGGCGATTTCAGACACATCACGACGTTGACGGTATTTCAAACGACGAACAGTTTTGTATTCATAACCATCAGCACCCAAAACAGCGGAATCTTGGGGTTCTTCTTCGGATTTTACTTCAGCAACAGCTTCTGTAGTAGTTTCCTCACTGGGTGGCAAGTATTCGTTGGCGATTTCAGAGACGTCACGACGTTGACGGTATTTCAAACGACGAACAGTTTTGTATTCATAACCATCAGCACCCAAAACAGCGGAATCTTGGGGTTCTTCTTCGGATTTTACTTCAACAACAGCTTCGGTAGTAGTTTCCTCACTGGGTGGCAAGTATTCGTTGGCGATTTCAGACACATCACGACGTTGACGGTATTTCAAACGACGAACAGTTTTGTATTCATAACCATCAGCACCCAAAACAGCGGAATCTTGGGGTTCTTCTTCGGATTTTACTTCAGCAACAGCTTCGGTAACTGCCTCTTCACTAGGGGGCAAGTATTCGTTGGCGATTTCAGATACATCACGACGTTGACGGTATTTCAAACGACGAACAGTTTTGTATTCATAACCATCAGCACCCAAAACAGCGGAATCTTGGGGTTCTTCTTCGGATTTTATTTCAGCAACAGCTTCGGTAGTAGTTTCCTCACTGGGTGGCAAGTATTCGTTGGCAATTTCGGAGACATCACGACGTTGACGGTATTTCAAACGACGAACAGTTTTATATTCATAACCATCAGCACCCAAAACAGCGGATTCTTGGGGTTCTTCTTCGGATTTTACTTCAGCAACAGCTTCGGTAGTAGTTTCCTCACTGGGTGGCAAGTATTCGTTGGCGATTTCAGATACATCACGACGTTGACGGTATTTCAAACGACGAACAGTTTTGTATTCATAACCATCAGCACCCAAAACAGCGGAATCTTGGGGTTCTTCTTCGGATTTTACTTCAGCAACAGCTTCGGTAGTAGTTTCCTCACTGGGTGGCAAGTATTCGTTGGCGATTTCAGAGACGTCACGACGTTGACGGTATTTCAAACGACGAACAGTTTTGTATTCATAACCATCAGCACCCAAAACAGCGGAATCTTGGGGTTCTTCTTCGGATTTTACTTCAGCAACAGCTTCGGTAACTGCCTCTTCACTAGGGGGCAAGTATTCGTTGGCAATTTCGGAGACATCACGACGTTGACGGTATTTCAAACGACGAACAGTTTTGTATTCATAACCATCAGCACCCAAAACAGCGGAATCTTGGGGTTCTTCTTCGGATTTTACTTCAGCATCAGCTTCGGTAGTAGTTTCCTCACTGGGTGGCAAGTATTCGTTGGCGATTTCGGACACATCACGACGTTGACGGTATTTCAAACGACGAACAGTTTTGTATTCATAACCATCAGCACCCAAAACAGCAGAATCTTGAGGTTCTTCTTCGGTTTTTACTTCAGCTTCAGTAACAGTCTCCTCACTGGGTGGCAAGTATTCGTTGGCGATTTCAGATACATCACGACGTTGACGGTATTTCAAACGACGAACAGTTTTGTATTCATAACCATCAGCACCCAAAACAGCGGAATCTTGGGGTTCTTCTTCGGATTTTACTTCAGCAACAGCTTCGGTAGTAGTTTCCTCACTGGGTGGTAAGTTTTCGTTGGCGATTTCGGACACATCACGACGTTGACGGTACTTCAAACGACGAACTGTTTTGTATTCATAACCATCAGCACCCAAAACAGCGGAATCTTGGGGTTCCTCTTCGGATTTTACTTCAGCAAGAGTTTCAGTAACTGCCTCTTCACTAGGGGGCAAGTATTCGTTGGCGATTTCAGAGACGTCACGACGATGACGGTATTTCAAACGACGAACAGTTTTGTATTCATAACCATCAGCACCCAAAACAGCGGAATCTTGAGGGTCTTCTTCAGATTTTACTTCAGCAACAGCTTCAGTTACAGTTTCGTCACTTGGTGGTAAATATTCGTTAGCGATTTCAGACACATCACGACGTTGACGATATTTCAAACGACGAACAGTTTTGTATTCATAGCCATCGGCACCCAACACCGCTGACTCTTGGGGTTCCTCTTCGGATTTCACTTCAGCATCATCCTCAGTAACAGTTTCGTCGCTTGGTGGTAAATACTCGTTAGCGATTTCGGACACATCGCGACGTTGGCGGTATTTCAAACGGCGTACGGTTTTATATTTATATCCTTCATCATTTAGAATGGTCGTTTCAGCATTTTCAATGGGTTCACTTGTCGACACATCGGTGATATCAGACTGCAGCCTTACCCCATTATATGGGATAATTGCAGCAGAAGCCAATGTTGCAAGACCTAATAAGCCAAAGATTTTCTAAAAATTCAAATAGATCAAGTTTTATTTATTTTTTGAAAGCGAAACAATATTTTGAAAATGTTATACCCACCATTGCTAATAAGTCTTAATTTTCGAATGATATGTTGAATAAGTGAATACCAATTGCTGAATGATTTCGATAGTTAAATTATCGGTTTATATATAATTCAATATTTGCGTTTGCTCTTAATGGGAAATAGTTTACCAGTGAAACCGGAAGATAATATTCAACGAAGGATGAGATAGCAAAATTATGTTGCTGAAGTGAGAACAGACAATTTGTTTAAAGTGCAGTGAAAAAAGTATATTTAATTTACAAAGAAAAAAAAACAAAAACACTGAAGACAGATTTCATACATGTATACACAATCGTATAGACGCTCGTATACACAGCAGCACAGCATTGATACCACCACCTCGGGTTGGCAATCATAAACCGTACATTTTTGTGGCGAACTCTTGTGTACATCTGAATACGGTGTTGGTGCTTAAAAAGTATACACCACTTGAGTTCTCAAGCATCTTGCCCGACGATACCAGCCATGTCTAGCATGTCGTGCCTACTTGTTGCTCTGATTCTGCTGAGATGGTAAGAGGGTACCCACATAGCGCCCTTATACAAAACGTTTTTTATTCTTTGTGTTATTGTTAAAGTATAAAGCTTGAGAGCTATTGCAATTGTATGTAAGTTTATTAACAACAGCAACAACAACAACATATATGAAGTCATGAGAATGGTTTTACTCACACCTTGATGCGGACACAATACGGAAGTATGAAATTCTGTGCTTCCCTTAGCAAAGCTGCTGCTCGTAATTGATTCCGCTTTTCCATTCGTGTCTAGTTTTTATTAACACGTCGAAAGCAAGTACACAAGTAAGATATGATGATGATAACGGTACGTGTATTAAGCCATTGTATCCAACACTGTGGCACAGGGTAATATTATGTGTTTTTGCATATGTTGTAAACTGCGAAAGGAAATATGATAGACTGATACTTCATTTTAAAAATCTACTTAGAATAACATTTTGAAAAATCATAAATATATACCCTAGCTTCAGGGTAGCCTCCATATAACGCTACACCCGAAATTCGGTATTTTGGGGATTTCGAATACGTTTTCCAACCAAATTGACTGTAATTATTAATATTGAACCACGTTTAAAGGTAGCCCGCATAATATGGTACTTTTTCAATCATATTGGCTGTAATTTGGTATTTTGGGTTCTCATAGCGTTGCCACCACATCTCCGCACTAAAAATTAATCATATTGGCCCAAATAGGTATTTTGAGAATTTTGGGAATTTTTTTTAACCAAATTGGTTGTAATTTGGTATTTTATATTCTCATCTCTCTACCAAAAACTATCAATATTGATGTCCGTTTTATTATAGCCCCATATAACGGTAGCCCCACTATTAGATATTTAAAAAATTTCATTCATATTTTTCTCACGTATTTTTCTGTATGTTTAAAGTCCTATTATAACATAATTGTTCTCCTAGGAGCCCCTATTAATTTTAGATATTTTGTATGGAGGTTATTCCATATAACGGTGTCCTAATATTCGGAGTCCCTTCCCGGCTTTAATTTTTTAAGAAAAAATTGCAAATCTATGAATAGCTCATGTCGCCCGGATAAATAAATTTTGATATGCGTAAATTAAATTTCGGATCAGTCAAATTCAGTCAATGTATGATTTATTTTTTGTATTTCAGTTTGTTAGCAATAAATATAATATTTCATGGTCAATTGATTTAGTTGTATAATCGATTCATCGATGCGATGTATTGAAGTTCATTGATCTTAAGACAGTTTGCTGATATGTGACCATATGTACATATAATACTTTCCATTGAGCCTGAAATAATTTAAAATTTATTAATATCATAATAGCAAACGTAAATACTTCAACTCAAATGCCTTAGGGATTTGTTGTCGAATAACATTGAAGGCCATTTTCATTTATGAACATGGCTTCATGTATAGAGAAATGAGTACTTTAATTTCAAAGCTGTTATTTATATGGGAAATTACAAAAATCTTTTAAATTCCTTGAAGCTGAGGTTTGCAAGGTTATAACTCGCGAAATATAAACATATTGCATATAATATAAATTCATTTCTATAAAATAAAATGTTTTTGTCAAAATCTTAAAATATTGGTAATAAATAATAAGTTGGTCGGAAGCTGTGATGGTGGTAATGTAAAAAAATGGGTGAAAATATGTTGAAGCTAACGAGTTTTTTTGTGTTCCTTCCTGATTTGTGGATAAACTACACAACGCACGCACATGTGATCAGTGACTAAGTTGCAGAATATCCCATGGACAATATGGTTCTAATGTAGAATTTTTCGATATAATCACTGCATCCACCCAAACTGGATGCTGACATTTTGAAGCCGGATTTTCGGTGTTTTTTGAATTTTTCTTATAATTAGGATGCGCATCCAGATAATGGACTAAACTGATTATAGGATTGTAGAACTCATGATTTTGCTTCGTTTAGTGTATATCTCATGAATGTGCTCACCGTAGCTTCTTTGCAATTGGGTTCCAAAGTCGAAAATTTGGTGCGTAAATTTTTATAAAAAACATATTTTTTGAGTCTAAAATTAAGAAAGTCCATTCAAATTCTGTGGAACCCCGCGTGATTTTAGTTTTTTTACGTGCCTGATCTAATGAGCCCATCCATGTTCAATTCCGCCCAATAAAACGGCGGATATAGGTACCATGAATGTGGGAAAAACTGCAAAAACCTATTTTGACAAATTCGCGTATATAATCGCGTTTTTCTTCGAATTGGTTTCACATACATTCATTCTTGTGTTATCATATTCACGAATCTGTGTGAAAATAGGTCAAAAATATATCGATACGCGAATTATATGCGTATTTTATCCAAAATCGATTGTGGAGGCACATCCGCGGTTCTTAACCGATCCTTTTAAAAAAGGTGTCCTTTTATGTATTTTCATAGGAGATTACTGAAATGGGATGCGCATAAAAATCGTATGCACGTTGCGTGATTTTTAGCCATTTTTAGGGCTTTTGCATAGTAAAGTGCATCGAGCGGCACTCTTCGGCCGCTAAACGAAACCTCGAAAAATTCATAATTATTGGAAGAGATTGATTCGCTTTATCCGAAAAACGCATGCGCATCCACTGATTTCAACGAATACGCGAATTGCATCCTTTTTAATGTTGGTCATTTTCATACACTGTAACTGCAATATATTTGGTCGTTTTTAAAGGCAAAACTCTTAACAATATAATCTAACGATATTTAACAATCATCTAAAAGAATTTGCAGAAGAAAGCGTGGTATATTTCAGAAGATTAAGGAAGAACCGTATCCTCTTAACCATACTAAAAAAATCGAAAATTGAAAAAACCTTTTTATTTTAATTCAAAAAATAATTTATTTTATTTTCCGATATCTTCATGCTGCTATTTGTTTTTCGCGACCATTATACCGTATTTCAATGTGATTTGACAAGTATGCAAAGAAAACAAATGGTGTTATCCATTTGTGAAGAAATTCGCGAATTACAACAAATAGGAATTCATTTAATTTATATTTGAAATACAAGATTTAAAATCGCTATAACTTTTCTGCGCAGCATTCGAATTAGTGAACGCGAACAGATTTCGAATCAGCATATTTTTCTTAACCTATGTACCAAAAATCATGAATGTGCTCGCAAAAAAAAATTTTCAAAATTTCTTTAATGGAATTTTAAAAGAATTTTGTAATTTCCCATATATATTTACTATTTCAAGTATATTTGAGAGCATTACATATTTTTTATATGAAACTTAATAAGTTTGGCGCTGCCAAACACTTTTTAAACATTTACACACGTGTTTGACTGCATTTAAATATTTAGAAACAACAGTAAGAAAAGTTCTAAAGTCGAATGGGAGCTATATTTAAATCCGAGCCGATTTCAATAAAATTTGCCAGATATTAGTTTATTTTTATTTCAGTACATTTTACATTTTTTTGTGCCGATCGGCAACAATTGGCTAACTATATGTTTGGGAGCAATAGCTAAATTTGAACCGATTTCAATATTTGACTGACGTTATGCTTTGCAAAAGTTTGTGCCAATAGACCTATTTTGGTCTTTAGAAAACCATTTCCTTGAAATCGTATGAAAATAAATATGGGAGCTCTACCTAAATCTGAACCCATGTTAAAATTTGACGCACGCTTGGCTATACTTACATCAGTAAGTTGTGCAAAGTTTCGTGCCAATCGGCCAAACATTGGGTCTCTACTGCACCATTTACTTTAAATAGAAATAGAATGGTTTGATATTCAAGATTTTTGCATATAACTATATAATACCCCTATTGTTTTTGTCACTAATCGGTTAATATTTTGGGGTCTATATTAGCCAATACATAATTTCATATAGCTCTTTATCTCTTTCATATATCTCTGAACCGATTTTTTCCAATTTAATGTTCTCATTCTCAACAATGCCATACATTCCCCACTAATAAATAGTTGTTTTTTATAAAAACAACAAACTGGGATTCAGCCTGACTATTTTGCAAAAACAAAATACAAATGGTATCCCAAATAAACCGCCAACACTACTGAAAATTTAAATAAATACCATTCTACACTGTATTAGGTATGCTGTTTTAGGATCTATATCTGAATCTCATCTGATTTTCACAAATTTCAATAGCGTTCGTCCTTGGGCAAAAAAAGAGAGCTGTATCAAATTTCATCCAATTCGGATTATAAATGCGATGTGTACTAAGTTTCTATTTCAGAGTTTCTGATAACAAATCGTTTCCTTCATATAGAAACAGGTGTACAAAAAGACGCATCCACAATTTTTATACGCTTCACCACACTGTGGTATAGATTATTATGTCTTTGTTTGTAACAGGCAAAAGAAAACGATATAGACACATTGTTCCTTTTGAGAATATGCATAGAATCACTTTCTGAGTCAATTTATGCATGTCCGT